AGAGAAAAAGTTGTGAGATTCTGGATGAAAGAAGAACCTAGAAAGTTTAATAAACAGTTTTCACATATTTGGGGGAAAACTGATTTCCCAATTCCTCTGTGAACAGAACAGATAAATAAATAAACAACTTGGCTTAGAATATAGCATGAAAACAATTAGAATGAATAATTAGCTGTGAATTACGACTTAGGGTGGGATACTGATGATGCATATGGAGTCATTAAATCTCTTAGCCTAAAAAAAATTGAGCTTGTTGCTTCCTGGAAATGCTTCTCTGACACTTGAGCAATAGTATGCTATGGCAGTCATCCGACCAGCCTGGTTGCCATCGTGGCTCTGCCACAGTTTTGAGCGATGTGAACTTGAGTAGGTCCCTTAACCTTGACCTCATTTTTCTCATTTCTATGGACAGATATATTATCCATGATAAAAGTGTATATCATGCCTTGAAATAGTGTCTGACACATAGTTGATGCATCTTGGCTACTACTGTTGCTTTTGTGTTTAGATACAGTCTGGGCTGAAAGTGGAACTGTGGGTTCCAGTGCATCTCCTTTTCCCTTCAAGCAAAGAGACCTGCCATGAACGTTTGTTAAGTTTTGGCTTCCCAGAATTTAAATGGCTTTCATATTTGGCAGGGATCACAAAGTTGGGACAAGCCACAGGGAGGCAGATATTTCTTCTCTCAATTCTTAGCATTAAAGGGAAGACTCGACCTTGGTTGGTGGACTAAATGCTCCAGCTTGGGTTGTGCATATGCTTGAGTGAAGTGGTGAATGAGAGCGGGGGTCACCAGGGATTGTTTTCTGGGGCTGTGATAGGAATAATGGGACAGCGTCTGCCTGGGGATTATGGGATTCGGTGGGACAGTGGCCAGTCTCCAGTGATAATGGCATCAGTAATAACATCCTACATAGACTCTGTAGTGGAGACTTGGCCACTACTAGCTCCCTTTGGCTCTTGTCTGTATTCCCAAGCTCAATTTTCCTGTCATTATAATGACTCTATGATGTATCCCTCAGCTATATCCACAATAATTCTACGTGACAATTCTCTGCCCCTACCCAACCCCAAAATAAACCCTCTCCATGGTATTTAACATAAACATTTGTTGTGAATTCCTGTGAATGCAGGTTGATAGGGGATTGGCTCTTCTAGGCTGGACTTAAAGGGGCATGGATCCAAGCCGAGTTTATATCCAAGTCTGCTCCACATGTTCCTCATCTCCACTGAACAAGCAACTCTTGCAGGCATTTGCATCCGATGGTGAAAGGCAAGAATGTGCAGCAGCAGGCCCAGCTGAGAAAGCACATGGCAAGCATCTGCTAACATGCCATTGGCCAAAACAAGTCACATGGTTAAGTCCCATATCAATAAGGCAGGAAATATACACTGCCTGTTGTGGAAGGAACAGCAAAGAGGGTCCTGCAAAATCTAAGGCTATGTATTCAAAGAAGGGTGAAGAATTGAGGACAATAAAGAAATTGACCACGTATGAGTTCCTCTCATCTTTCCAACTGAAGTCTTTTCTGCTTAAATTAGTATGTATTTATATATTTTTTATAACAATGTACCTTGCTATATAGTACAGAGACTATTAAGGGAGTGAACTGTGTTTCTTTACAGAGTTTGGGGAAATCTCAGATTGTTATCTGGTCTGCACAGAGCCGAAGGCAATGGAGATCTAGTGCCTTCCCATATATTAAACAACAGGAACCTGGCAGCCTATGACATACAGTTGTAACATGATTTGTTAAATTGTCTGTTTGACCTGGAATGCAGTCCCCACTGAAGACCACAGGGTGACTACTGCTATAGAGTAGCGTAAAGAACATGCATCATTCGAAGAATGCAAGGTGGGGCGTTCACATCCAATAGCACTGGGTGACTTTAAAAGGAATAGTAAGCTCAACCTTATATTTTTTGTCTCAAGACACAAACCAAAAACCAAAAACTTTATGTGACTGCTAAAATAATATGTTTTATACATTTTATACCTGCAGTGCCGAGGTCACAAGCTGAAAAGCAAAAATGGAGAGGATTCTACACTTTGTTGCATTGCATTAGTTAAATATACAATGTTTCCAAATCACTTAGAACACTGATTGAGGAAGAATGGGCATCTGAGAATCAGAGTGGTTGTTCATGTGGTAACATTTGAAAGAATTTCACCTCCCTAAGCCTCCCCAGTCCGCTATGCCTGATTTACACCTAAAACAAGTTCATTTTCCTCGTCTAAAGAGACTGTTCCAGCTTGGCTTAAAAACCGTGTCTCCCTCATCTACTTTTGAAAAGGACATCAATTTTCCCTATTCCCTTCTCACCTCTTGTTTTGTACAAACTTTAGGTAGGCTCAAGTTGCATCTTCCTGTGTGTCTGAAGAAGTCTCACACACAAAGAAAATTACAGTTCTTTGTTAATTTGTATCACAAAAAAATTCCCAGCAGTATGAGTGGGAAAGGATTCCAAGGATGTGACAACAAATAGGAAAAAACATAAATACAGATCAGACTCATTTATTTTGAAATCTGGAAGGCAGAGCAGATTCTGGACTCAATGTTCTGGAAGAGCAGAGGAGGTTCCGAATGTAACTGGAGAGGTGAGGTGGTTCCTCTGCATAACAGGGAGGGCGGTTGTGATGGGGCAAATTTGCCAGGCGCCACCCATTCACCACCCGCTTTCCATCCATAGTGTACAGGAAGGCAGAGAAGGGTGGCCCTCCCTAAGGCCCTACAGTGTGATTTGGGAGGGAAGCACCAGCATTTCTGAATAATATCTGAGCGGTACAGTAGCCGCACATTATCCATGGGATATATGTAGGTGCCTAAAACTGCAGATAGCACTGAACCTTCCAAATAATGTTTTTTGTTTGTTTTTTTCTGTACATGCATACCTTTTGTATAAAGGGAGCACATTATGGATTCTCTTCAGCCTTTCTGAATTGTCATCAATACTGCTCTTGCACTTTGGGGCCATGCTTAGGTAAAATAAGGTTGACTTGAAGACAAGCCTTGGGATCCCTCGACAGCTGGTCTGATAAGTAAAACAGCCACAAAGTGACTGATGGGCAGGCGGCATGGACAGCGTGGAGACACTGGACAAAGGGCTGATTCGCATGCAGAGCAGGACGGAGTGGGACAGTGTGAGGTTTCATCTCACTACTCAGAATGGTGCACAGTGTTAAATGTAGGAGTTGTTTGTTTCTGGAATTTGCCATTTAATATTTTTGGACTGAGGTTGGGCAAGGGGGATGGAAGCTGTGGAGAGAGAAACCGTGGAAAGGAGGGACTACTGCACTCTCCGTAAGCCGATGACGTGGAGACGGGCTCTCCGGTTTCAGTGTCGTGAAAGTACGGAGAATGCCAGACGCAGGGAAGGGCACCTACTCACAAAGGGTGGTTGCCGGAGACAGAACAGAGGCAAGCAGATTTTGTGGAGCTCATGCTTGGAAGCAAGAGGGACAGTTGTACAGCGCAAGTTCTCTGTGATTTTTTTTTTTTTAAAGTTTGGGGAAGGTGTACTTGCTGGGGCATTGGTGGAAAAATTAGTCTTTTTGGCTAAAGAAACCAGAAAATGTGGACTGGGAAAAACCAAGGCACTGGAGAAGGAGAAATATTTACAAATAAGAACAAGCTAGAGAGGGAATATTTGATTCATACCTGCCTCCATCCCTGGATGACTTAGGTGCCATGCGTTATTGACGTAGACTCAAAAAACCTTAGCTGAAAAGGTTTTATCTGAGATTAGGGCTGACTTCCAAGAATGAATTTGCTGTTGAAGTCCAACCAAGTTAGATATCTGCTAAAACAAACAAACAAATAAACCTAGAAAACAAACATTCATCAGCAAAATAACTGAGAATCTCCTTGACATAGCAGCAGTAATGCTCCAAATTGGCTGACATATGAAGAACTAGGAAAATAGAACTCCTCATCCAAAGAAAAACAATCAATAAAGACCACACTTGAGATGACTCAGATTTTAGAATTAGTGAGCATTTTAAGAAAGATATAATGTCCTCAATAATGAAAAAGAAAATATGCTTACAATGAATCAAAAGACACACAGAAATTAAAAGTAAATGGATAGAAAGAGATATTCTAAATGGAATACTACACAGCAGAAAGAAAGAAGGAACTCCTGCCCTTCACGACAGCATGGATAGAACTAGAGAGCATTATGCTGAGTGAAAGAAGCCAGGCAGTGAAAGACAAATAACATATGGTCTTACCTATAAGTGGTAAGACCACTTACCTAATCTACAAAACAAACAAACAAGCAAAACAGAACCAGAGACATGGAAATAAAGAGCAAACTGACAGGGACCCGGGGGAGGAAGGAGGAGGGTAATGGGGGAAAGTAGAGGAAGGGGCAGGTCAAGAAACACATATAAGGACCCATAAGTATGGACAATGGGGTGGGGATTGACTGTGGGGGGTGGGGAGGGTGGGCAGGGCAGAAGAGAGAAATGGGAAAAAATGTGGGACAACCATAATTGAACAATAATAAAAATATTTTAAAAAGAGAAAGTAGGGGTAGCTATCTTTACATCAGACAAAATAAACTTTAAGCTAAAGACTGTAAGAAAAGACAAAGTCATTTAAACATGATTATAAGGTCAATCCAACAAGAGGATATAGCATTTATAAATACTTATGCAGCCAATATAGGAACATCTAAATATATAAAGCAAATATTAGCTAACCTGAAGGAAGAAATTGACAACATTTCAATAATAGTAGGGGATTCAGTATCCCACTTTGAACAAAGGCTAGATCATCCAGACAAAAATCAGTAAGGAAACATAGGTATTAAAGTACACATTACAGTGGATGGACTTATCAGACATTTACATTCATCCCAAGTGCACAGGAAACACTGTCCAGGATAGGTCATGTGTTAGGACCACATAGTCAAAATTAGCATTGCCGTCGGGCCGCCGATGGGGCTGTGAGGGTACCAACATGGCTGTGGTGGGAACGGGTGTGGGCTGGGCCACAGGCGATGATGACATCCTGGCACTGCTGCAACTCCTGAGTGCTCACTGGGGAAGCCAGCCTTGAAGAGCTGAGTGTGCTGCCTGCCCAGTGTGGGGTTCTGGAGCTGGGAGGGCAAGTCCTGCATCCAAGTAGCTCGATATCCCGTCCCTAACTCCCACGTACAGGCATCTCTCGGGACAACTGACACAAGCACCACAAGAGCCAGGGCAAGAGAAAACCCTACCACACAAAGCAAAAAATGAGCTGGGATACCCTGCTTCAACACTTAGACTGGAAAACGGGGCCTCACCATACACTGTGTGTTGGGGAGTCAGCATAAGTACTGGACTTTGAGGCTGAAAGCTGCAGCTTCTCTTGGGGCTCCCAGGGTCGTATGAGCAAAACGAGGATTATTGATGTGGTCTATATGCATCTGACAATGAACTGGTCCACACCAAGCCCCTAGCAGAGCACAGCATTGTGATCGCTGACGGCACACCCCACCAACAGTGCTGTGAGTCCCACCAGGCCCTTCCCTGGCCCACGAGATGAGGGCCAAGCTGATTCCTGAGAAGGAAGAGATTTTAAACAAAGAAAAGATCAAAGAGAATTCAGAAGAAATATGATGAAAGGAGCAGCAATGCCAAGATCAGCAGTCTTCTAAAGGAATGCTTCTTGCACGCCTCGCTTCAAGACCAGGCCAACGTGGCTGTGCAGATGGCCCTGCACTGGGGGGCATGGAGCTGGGGCTGTGAGTGAGGAAAATCGAGGCCCAGAAAGCAAATAAATCCTCCTCCCTCCTGTCTTAGCTCATGGAATAAAGGTGTTTATTGTTCTAAAAAAATTAACATTGCCCGTAATTGGGCTAATCAACAGCATGTACCTCCTGATGTTAGGCACTAAAAAGGCAATCTTGTTTCTATTGTTTTCTTGCCAGCAAAGCATAACTGGAATCTAACCATAAGGAACCATCAAACACACACGAATTACACTCTATGGAGTAACTGATCTGTTCTGTTGTTATCTGTTTGTTTTTACTTCGAAGGACTTGATTGTAGAACTGGCAACATCTGCTGATGTCTGTGAAATTAGACAATGTCTCATTCGTGTTAATTCCTTGACTTTGATAAAGTTTCCTTTGATGATAGAATTTTAATAAAATTCTATATTTTAAGAAAATGTACACTGTAGTGTCTAGGGGTCTGGGGTATCAGATGTGCAATTTCCTTTTAAATGGTTAAGAAATAAATAATAGTAAGAGACAGAAAATAATGAGGAGAAAGGAGAAGGAGGGATGATGGAGAAAGGAAAGAGAATAAAATGATGCTAAGTGAAGGGCATCAGAGGATTTTTGTGCTCTTCTTACAACTTTTATGTAAGATTTAACAGTATGTCAAACACAGAAGCAAAAATAAACATTTTCAATGGGGAAGAACTATTATGATCTAGGTGCTGAGGGAAACTCCATATTGCAAAAGTTGAAAAGGGCACATGTAGGAATCACATCCCCGTGTCCATTTAGCTTTCCAGCTTGACCAGTGAAGAAGACGGATTGGCCATTCCGAGCCCATTAGTAATTGTAAGTTTAATCAGAGGATGCCACCAGTTAAAGCTGCTGCTCCGTATGTGGTCTCCTCATTAGAACAAGTCAATAGAGCCCTTGGGACCTGGCAGGTAGCTAATGATTTGTTTTAAATTTTTTTCCAGTGCTGCTAAAGAGCAGCAACTAGAGATTGTGGTACAAATGACAACATTTCCTTGAGGTAATATAAACCACCCAGCTTTGTCCGAGGTAAACATTTTAACCATCAGACTTTGTTTCAAATCAGTGGGGATATGGGGTGGTTTAGGGTTAGGGATATGGGATGGACACTAGAGGACAGAAACTTTTACAACCACTGTGGCTTTACGATAATTGCCATATGAGGACTGAAACATCAACCCACATTTCCTTCCTGAGTGTGTTAAGTATGTATTTATACATTTAACTAATTTCCTTTTTAGTTCAACTCCTTCTATTAATATCAGATTTACTATTAAAAATAATGTGACAGCTTAGTTCATCGTTCATGACATTGTGGGATTGCCCCCCCAGGCAGAAAAGAAGTGGTCATCCCTTCCAAAGCAGAAGAGGCTGCTGGAGTTTAAGGAACATGCAGAGGCTCATGGAACTTTAACCTCCTCTTCTTGGGAAGAAGGTGAGTGTATTTTAAGTTGTATGAGCGATAGCTGAATTTTAGTGAGATTTTTTTTTAAAGCATAAGAATGTGGAAAATGATGTGTGGGGTTATTCCATGTCTAAAGGGAGACTGTGGGGGACATTTGTCAGCCCTGTCTGTCTGGCATCTAAATGGTGAATTGTAGAAGGACAATTAAAACCTGAGGTTATTCGGGGAGCATTTGTGGTTGGCTGCCACGGATGCACACATTCAAAAGAAAGGAATGGCCTCACCATCCTGTGGGGTAGTTTTGGTTGCGTCCTGTATCTTTTAACTACTATTTCCCAAGACTGTTTTGAACATTACTAATAATTTTATGAATTACCCAATATAATTTCAATAAATCTATTTAATAATTAGATTTCAAAAAATCTTATTAACATGTTGTATACAATACAAACTAAGCTACTGTAACAAAGAATCTCATAAGTAGAATTTTGGGGAGTCATGTAAGAGTTAAGATGTGTGTAATTCAGGACTGCCAGTCAACTCATCTCCCCCAGCCTCTTGGGGGGAACAGAATCCTGTCTCGATGTTCACATCTCGTTCTGGTCATTGTGTTTGGAGCTGAATCGCCACTGCCATGTCCTTATTCCACCTTGTGGAAGGGGGAGGAGAATACAGTGAAAGGAAACCGACTTCTTTGTAAAGAAAGGATGTAGACGTTTCAGGGATCGTTTATTACTTTGCATCTGATTTTTGAGAATTTAGTCACATGACCATTCAGCTATCATGGAGGGCAGGAAATTGTCACTAGCTGGGATGCTTTGTGTCTTCATACAACTCAGGGCAGGGAACACTTTTACTGTTAAAGCAAGAAGAGGAAACGAGATCCTAAGAGATAATTAAAATGCTGGGTCACATTTGGATGGAATTAATTGCTGTTGTTTACAACCAAAACCCCCTGAGTAGTACAGTCTCTTCTTATAGCTGTTTTGACTGTCTGTGCAAACACTTGAAACTGTGAATCTGTTTGTGCGGGGAGTTAGGATCAATACCCAAATATTCTCTAGCACTTCCTTTAACCTTGGTGAGTGCTGTCTCCAATGCACTTAAAAGATGATTCTGTTTACACAAAATGGAGTTTTTGTAATACAGCCGTGTAAGAAAGTTTCCAGTTCATGGAGTGTTACTAAATGTTAGAATAAATTATAAAAGGAGAGACCAGACTCTGCTTTAATGATGAGGGATTATTTGAAACAGGATATATTCTTTGTTCTTCCCTGTTAGCATTCATTCGCTCAGGCCCACAGGTACCTATCCATATGATGCCTGTTTCTAAAAGAACTTGAAATGGCTTAAAATTTAGAAGGTGCAAGTAAAATCAGAATAAAAAGTAATACAAGAAGAGTAAAAAAGAAGAATTGCAATTCATAGAAGAGTGGGAATGAGGATGGGCTAAAAAATCACGTGACTGGAGCAAGAAAGCTACTGCAAATGGGCAGAGCATGCACGCACTTGCATGTGTGCATGCCTGTTCTGAAAGTCCAAAATGGGGCAAGGTAAGCCATCACAGGTCAATCCATCCCTGCAGTGTTTTTAAATATTTGCCAGATTATTAAAAATGAGGGATCTGGGAGAGTACTAGTGTAGCATGGAACGAAAAATTTGAAGGTAGTAATTAAACATTTACATTTAAGATGTGTCCTTGAAAAGCTTTCTGTTTTCACTTGACGCCTTACCTGTAAGTCTTACCTGGCCTGTTAGTCAGGCCCCTCCCTCCCTTCCTACTGTAGTGGCTCATCCTCAGGCAGGAGGACTGAAGGGCTTCCAGGGAGCCTGGAGAATTAGAAGTTTACCTGTACTGGTGGTGCTGTGTGGGTGAGGGTTTGTGTGTGTCCACACACACCTTTGCTCTCGTGTTTTGGTTGACTAGATAGAACACTGCAATCATCAGATTATTTAAGGAATTATACAGAAGGCAAGACGAAAATCACAGCCTTTTCATCCTAGTGATAATTGGTTATGGTAAGTCATTTTTATACATATTTCCAAAGATGAGCTTTGCCTCACCCCAGTTTGCCAGATGGCACCTTCCAGGTGAGCATTGGAATGGAGTCTTTCGTTTCCCTGGTCCCACTCTCAAAGGGACTCACGGGTTTCACAGCCTCAGCTCTCATTTCCCTCTGCCTGTAATGTGTCTCTTTTGCTCTCAAGTGGAAGGGTTGTGAAGGAAAAGATCATCACGCCCCTGGTGAGTGCTGGGCTGTGACAGCGAACGTGTGCTCACAGGAGAAGTCTTCTCATGGGGTTTTTAATGGCAACATGTTCTGTTGATTTTTTATTGTGATGTTGCCATTCTGTGGCTGAGAAAACTGACTTTAGAAGAATGTCTGCCTGATATGGCGTGAAATTAGGTTATCAGAAAAACATATAAGGGCACAGAAGCATGAATACATTTAGCTTTTCTTGGATGGCTGATACAGTGAATGCCCTTTAAGAGTGGATAGATTGTCCATTGCTAAAGATTTTAGGTTGGATCCTTGAAATTTTGGTAAGAATAGTCAAAAAAATTGTTACTCCTAGGAGAAGTCCACTTGGTGTTTTTATTTTAAAAGACTGGGGTATAATAATCTGAAGACCTTTGAAATTTAAATTTTTAGAACCTAAAACTCTCACATGTAATCATCATTTAACTTTATAGAATTTGTAAATTTTATTAAGGATAGCACTTTATAACCAAGTTCACTGGTAGAAAAATTTTTTAAAAAGTTAATATATTTCAAATGATCTCTATTTGATATTTTATCCCCTATTATGGAGTCAAGTTCTCTAATATATATAGCTAATTTTTATTTATTTAGTTAATTAGTTATATTTTATTAAATTTATTGGTTTGAAATTACGAGAATGGGAGATAGTGGCCCAGGTAAACAAACA